CCAAAGAATTTTGGAAGAAAGAAGCCTCCTATTTTGTAGCAGCTGACGGAAAAGTTTTCAAGACTGAGTTAATAACCAGAGCTCCAATCGGAATTAAATTCTTTCCAGAATGCATAGTTTGGAGTAAAGTAATAGGAAGCAAGCTTCCCAACAAAGACATTCTGATAGGCATGGATATCTTTTCCATGACTAGTAGATTTCAAATACTTCCTAAAGGAATCAAGTTCAAAAGAGAATTCAAACCTTTTACGGAGATACCAAGGCTCTTTTCTCTCTCAGAAGCTCCTCCTGAACTTGAAGAGATAAAACAAAAGTTAACCTCTCTGTGTGCCAACAGTCATGAAGAATTTTCTCATCCCAAGCCATTATGGAAGAATCCTAATTTCTTTGTACAATTACCCTTCAAGCTCAACGAAGATGTTAATCCAACCAAAGCTACTCACCCAGGAATGTCTCCCTCAGACCTACAGTTAGCAAGACAAGAATGTCAAGAACTGTTGAAACAAGGCCTGATTGAACCAACCCAATCCAATTGGGCCTGTCAAGCCTTCTATGTAGAAAAGAGGTCTGAAAAACTCAGAGGGAAAAAGAGGTTAGTAATTGACTACAAGCCTCTTAACTGTTTTCTTAAGGATGATAAATTCCCAATACCCAAAGCTTCATCCTTACCCATCTTGATAAAAGAAGCCCATATCTTTTCTAAGTTCGACCTTAAGTCCGGATTTTGGCAATTAGGCATTGATCCACCTGATAGATACAAAACTGCTTTTTGCATACCCAATGCCCAATACCAATGGAAAGTAATGCCCTTTGGGCTTAAAACAGCCCCATCACTGTTTCAAAAGGCCATGACAAAAATCTTCGAGCCCATATTAGATAGAGCAATCGTATACATTGATGATATTTTATTGTTCTCACCAAACATGGACTCCCACAAGCAATTATTGAATCAATTCTTTGAAATAGCCCATCAACATGGGATAATGCTCTCAGAAAAAAAGATTCACTTGGCCCAAGAAGAAATTGACTTCTTAGGAATGCACTTCAGTCATGGATCTTATCAGCCTCAACCTCACATTGCTGAAGAACTTCTCAACTTCCCAGATGAAAATCTGACCATCAAGCAGATCCAACAATTTCTCGGGATAGTCAATTATATTAGGGAATTCATCCCTAATGTTGCAAGAAATACAAGTCCTCTGTCCAAGCTCTTAAAGAAGAATCCACCTCCATGGGGATCAGAACAAACCAGAGCTATTAAAGAACTAAAAAAGATAGCTCAAGCTCCTCCTGCTCTGAAGATTCCAGGCAATGGAAAAAGAATATTGCAGACTGATGCCAGCGATGAATATTGGGGAGCAGTACTCATTGAAGAAGAAAATGGGAAAAGACACTATTGTGGACATGCAAGTGGACAATTCAAAGATGCAGAAAAACATTATCACACCACGTTCAAGGAAGCCTTAGCAGTAAAAAATGGCATAAAAAAGTTCGACTTCCATCTTAGAGGATATCACTTTGAGGTTCAGATGGACAACTCTTCATTCCCAAAGATCTTAGAGTTCAAGAATAAGATGCCTCCTAATCCTCAGATTCTCAGGCTAATGGACTGGTTTTCCAGGTATGATTTTATTGTTAAGCACATTAAAGGAAACCTAAATACAGTCCCAGATTTTTTGTCTAGACCCAAAAAGAATGTCCAATTAATAGTTGACACTTATAGTCTTCCTCTTATCTTTATGGTCAAACCTCTCTCAGACAAAGCCAAAACCGTCAAAATCTATCCACCTGGTTTAAACCCAACCACACCAGCTGATATTCTCCACTATGCCAGAACCAGATATTTTTACTTTTTACATGAAACCCTCAGATACAAAGTAATTTCAGCCTCATCGTTCAATCCTGATATTCCCTTTGGGGGAATTTTCGAACTATTCTGTGAACCTGGTTGGGACCTTTGTGAACCTACCCTTTGGACCATTTGGTGCGATACAGTTCAATACTCCATTCCTATTGCATTAAAGGCTCAAACAGCTTACAATATTTTGACACATCCGTATAAAGACAAATTCCTTTTTTGGACACTGCTCGAATGGTTTTCTCCAATACCCTGGTGGAGACAACAGCTTAAGGAGATCATAGACCGTCAAAAGCAGAAAGGAGTTACTGAAGACTTTCTCAAAAATTTGACATCTATCTTCATCATCCACCGTCCATACTTCATGAATCCAGCTGGAACCCTTTGGTCAAAAAATGAAGCTTATCTATGGGCTAGCTTTGACACCTATCCACTTGATAACAGTTACCGTGCACAACTGGCGCATCATCTTTGTGAAATAAATCATTATCAACCAAAGCCAGTAGACCCCAACATTGCCAGCTCATCCCAGAGACCATCTGACACATACCAGTTGAATCAAATCACTCCAGAAGAAGACAAATCCCAAGAGATAAGAAGAGCAGAAATGAACGTCCCAGATGAAGACTTCCAGAAAGTAGAAGATCTAGCAGATAACATCAACGAAAATCTGATGGAAGAAATGTTAATGCATAAAAAGATGTATCCTTACTGGGACCCATTACATGGAAGTATGACAAGGAGTGAAGCACAACAGATGAACTACTCAGGCTCCACCCGATCTGACTAAAGTAAAGGCTTTAGTTAATGGCTGTCATTATGACATGCTACTAAAGCAAGATTCCCTTATCTTTACACGTATCTATTACGTTTACCGTAAACGTGTTAATGAAGATAAGCTTGGATCTACTTTACTTTCACATGAAGAAATAAGACATCACTTTCGAATCTTATCTTTTCTACTTTAAATAAAGTGTGAATCATGGTGTTTTGTCTTTTGTAAGGCCATTATGATGTGTGGGCCATAGTTTGAATAATTAACTTCGGATTCCACCTTGTATCATAAGTTTCGGGTCCGAATTTCATTTTAGTTTAGCGAAGTTTTGAATTCCGTGTGTATAAATAGGGGATGCTTGTAAACTTGTAGGGCAGGATGAAATTGAGTGAAATCAATACAAGTTCCCTTTCAAAAATGCTATCTCTCTAAGTTTTCCTTTCTCTGAAAACTTGAAGCTTATAATTCTTAATGTCGTTCCCCACTTAGATGCAAGTATGCTCTACACTTGCCTCGAAAGAGGATCCTGTGTATCAGAAAGCTTCCGATCTATGAAACCATTTTATTTTAGAGTGCTCTTCTTATAAGAAATATGAACTTGAGTAGGCTTTTAGCCGAGGGATGGCGCCGTTATGCCCTAGTATGTTCATATATCTGGGTAAGAAGGGGGCTCTGTCCGAAATGATAATATTTTATATATCAAATTAAATAAAGAGATTAAAATATTGTCAATTAAAAGAATATATTTCACTAAATTTATAAAAGAAAATATACAATGTCCTTAACCTGTAGAAGCAACTTGGAAAACCAACACAAGACAAAATACTATTAACTAGTATTCATCATAGCTAATTCTTCTAATCTCATTAAAGATGATAAATTATTATAAACTATTAAATAAAGAACTTTCAATTTAATTCTAAAAGGGAAGAAATCCTAATTTTTTAAAGTTGGCAAGTTTCAAGAGTGAAAAAATATAAATAAAGTTTACTTGGAATATAAATTACTACGAATTTGGAAAATTATCTTGAAATTATTCACAAGTATTACGTAATGTTATATGTTGTGTCTATGAATTGTAGAGGGCATACATTTCTTATTGAATATCTAAAATTCTTTCAAATAATATGCTAATCTTGTTGGCAAAATTTGGGTAATGTATATATATGATACATATTTAAATGTGTTAGGGTCATTATTTATTAAGCCAAATAATAAAGTGATCTGACTAAATTAAAAAGGTTTGGCTAAAGGCATATGTCATGAAAATAAAATTGTGTAGAGACCATAAGATCAAATCAAAAGTGCTCTACAAAGGATATCGTCATTATGACCAATTCAGGTACGCTTTCGCATTTAGTTTATAATATGTTTACAGTATGGGATTATAGATATATGTTTGATCATTAGAATGAATATCATATTCAATTACAATTTAACCTAACAATTGGTATCAGAGCAACCCATACTTAATTCATGTTTGTCTTAGGAAATATTTAAGAATTTAGATTAATTTACGTAACCCTAAATCCCTAATTAAAAACCCCAAAAATTGAGAATCCGGGTTTCTTAAAACCCAATTCTCTGTTACACGTGTGGCTGCACAACGTGGCGACTGCGGTGATGATGATGCCGGTGGCGACGGGGATAGTGCAGCGGATGCCGCCGGTGCACAAGCAGTCAGAGGCGGTGAACAAGTTCTGCTGCGCGGTGATTCTGACAGTGGTGTACGCGACACCGATAGGAGGAATAAGTACTCTAACGGGGACGAGTGTGAATTTGATAATAATCGGAATGTGGAAGAGCCTCTTCCCGGATGCAAAGCCAATAAGCTTCAATACGTGGTTCTTCTATGAGTTCCCTGTGGCTATTGTCATCCTCAAAACATTTTTGGGATTTACCAAAACCCTAAAATTTCAATTTATACCTAAACCCCTAATTCTTCGCTCCTTCTCTATGCTGCCGTCACTCACCATTAATGCCGCTCCCTAATTCAGTGCTGGTGGAGATGTTCACGTCGCAGGGGTGCGCAGCGTCTCCCAAAAATAGTAAATATTGTGAATCCCAATTTTGATTTTGAAATAAAACAATTCCAGAGTGTCCTGTGTATTCTCCAACAAAAGAGGAATTTAAGGATCCTTTGATTTATTTGCAAAAGATAGCTCCAGAAGCTTCTAAATATGGTATATGCAAGATTGTTTCTCCTTTGAGTGCTTCAGTACCTGCTGGGGTTGTTTTAATGAAGGAGAAAGCAGGATTCAAGTTTACGACTAGAGTGCAGCCTCTTCGCCTTGCTGAATGGGATTCTGAAGATAAAGTCACATTTTTATGAGTGGAAGAAATTATACATTTCGTGATTTTGAGAAAATGGCAAACAAGGTGTTTGCTAGAAGATATTGCAGTGCTGGATGCCTTCATGCCACATACTTGGAAAAAGAGTTTTGGAATGAAATTGGTTGTGGGAAGATGGAAACTGTTGAATATGCATGTGATGTTGAAGGCAATGCCTTTTCATCTTCTCCCATTGACTAGCTTGGGAACAACAAATGGAATTTGAAGAAACCTTCAAGGTTGCCCAAATCAAGTTTACGGCTTTTGGAAACATCAATTCCGGGAGTAACAGCACCTATGTTGTACATTGGGATGCTTTTTAGTATGTTTGCATAGCATGTGGAAGATCATTAATTGTACAACATTAATTATCATCATTGTGGGGCATCAAAAACATGGTATGGTATCCCAGGTCATGTTGCTTTAGAATTTGAAAGGGTAGTCAGAGAACATGTGTACACTAATATTTTATCAAGTGACGGGGAAGATGGCGCCTTCGATGTTCTCCTAGGGAAAATAACTCTATTTCCACCAAATATTTTGTTAGAGCATGAAGTCCCTGTCTACAAGGCCGTTCAAAAGCCAGGGGAGTTTATAATAACCTTCTCCACAGTTGAAACCATGACTGAAGCCAGCATGATATGCTCTGGGGGAGGTCCTAACGTCTTGGTGGTTTAATATTTAGTTTTGTTATATAAATAAAATATTTAATTTTAATTGTTTGGTAGTTTAATATTTTTGTGAACAAATTGAGTCAAGAAGTTACCAAAGTAACCTCTCTTGAATTGGGTAGTTCGTAAAAAATATTGAATGTTAGTGTTTGTGTATATTCATGCGAGTATTAGTTGGCCCAAAGGAAGATTAATATTTGGCCGAATTACATACACACCTGTAATGATAAACATGTGATAATTATAAGGATTTGCTTTGTCGATGATAAATCAATCCAAAGACTGGTTTGTTGTTGGACGTCTTTATTGTCAATGTTTGATTATTACAACAAGATACCTCTAGCAGTTAATATTACTGTCCAAAGACTTGATATTGATGGTGCATTGGGTGTCTTGAGATGGGTTAAACCATTATTTGAATATATATTTTATTTATAATTATTTATTTTATAATGTGAGCATAATTAGTTTATTTCTTTTGTTCTAATCCAGCTACAATTGCTTATGTATCTGCCAATTTAAATTCTGTTCCGGTCCTCAATGGAACAAATTTTAAGGACTGGAAAGAGAACATTGATATTATTCTTGGCTGCATGGATATGAATCTTGCGTTAAGGACTGAGCAACCCCCTGTTCCTACGGATTCAAGTACCTCTGAACAGAAAAGAGATTATGAAAAGTGGGATCGCTTAAATCGCATGAGTCTAATGATCATTAAGCGCGGCATCCCGGAGGTGTTTAGGGGCACTGTTTCTGAAAACATCACAAGTGCCAAAGAGTTCCTTGCTGAAATTGAGCAGCGCTTTGCAAAAAGTGATAAGGCGGATGCAAACACTCTTCTTCAGAACTTGATCTCCATGAAATATCAGGGCAAAGGAAATATCAGGGAGTACATTATGAGCATGTCTAATATTGTTTTTAAACTCAAGACACTAAAGCTTGAACTCTCAGAAGACTTGTTCATTCATTTGGTGTTGATTTCTCTTCCCGCAACGTTTAATCAGTTTAAGGTATCTTACAACTGTCAGAAGGATAAATGGTCTCTTAATGAACTCATTTCACATTGTGTACAAGAAGAAGAAAGGCTAAAGCAAGACAAGACAGAAAGTGCTCATTTAACAAACACCTCTAAGGCTAAAGGCAAAAGAAAGAGATCGAGGGATCCCAAGAAGGAAGCTGCTAAAGGTCCAGAACAAAAGCAACAAACTCAAGAAAATAAATGTTTTTTTTGCAATAAGACTGGACACGTAAAGAAGCAATGTGCTAAATATCATGCTTGGCGTGAAAAGAAAGGGTTGCCTAAACTACTGGAAGTCAACTAATTCTGAAAGATGAATATACGTTGAAAATGACAATTAGTGGAGATGGAGACTATTGAACATTTTAGATTATTATTGTGTACTGGTTTTTTTATTTTAGATTTAAAAGACATTTTTTGTCGTGCCATCTTTTAGATGGAATTTGGTTTTAGTTTCTTATTTGGACAAATTAGGTTATTTGTGTTCATTTGGAAACAATAAGTTCAGCTTGTCTTTTAATTCAGATATTGTTATAAATGGTTCATTTTTTGGCTAATGATAATCTATATTTACTTGATATTGTGGTCACCTATAATGCAACTCTTAATATAGAATCTCGTGGTATTAAACTAAAATTGGACTCCCGAACAGTAAGCAGTTACTTCATTGGTTATTCTGAGAGAGCCAGGGGATATAAATTTTATGATCCCACATTAAAGACAATTTTTGAGATGGGAACTGTTATGTTCTTTGAGGATATTGAGTTTGGGGGGAAGAATAAGATTAAGAATTTTGTATTGGAGGAAGAATCGACAATAAATCCAGAATCGATTCAAACAGTTACTTTTGATAAAGTAAGTTCGGAACCTCCACAAGACATTGATGATAAACCCCATATTCAAGATGATTTGATTGTTCGTCAAGACCAAACTCAAGATCCTCAAGAACCTGTGCGTCATGAGCCGGGGATACTCCAGTTACTAAGGGAGACAAGTTTAGTCTAAATTAGTGTCCAAAGGGAAATTTGGAAATTGAGGAAATGCAACATATTCCCCATGTATCAGCTATCAGGAGTTTGATGTATTCCCAAATATGTATGCGTCCATACATAACATACATAGTTGGGGTTCTAGACAGATATTTAAGCAATTCAGAAATAGACCATTGGAAAGCAGCAAAAAGGGTCATAAGATATTTAAAGAGAACAAAAGATTATATGCTCACATACAGGAGGTCAGACCAGTTGGAGATCGCTGGGTTTTCTGACTCAGATTTTGCAGGATGTCAAGAATTTGTAGCATGCTATGAGGCATCAAATCATGGAATATGGCTGAGAAATTTTGTCACAGGGCTGCAAATTGTGAAAGACATTGAAAGACCACTTAAGTTATATTGTGAGAATAAATTAGCTGTATTATTAAGGAAAGAGTACAAAGTGGACAGATTTCCATAGAACACTTAAGGACAAACTCCATGATAGCATATCCTCTAACTAAAGGACTTCCGCCCAAGGTCTTTCATGAACATGTTGCTCACATGGGTGTTTTACAGGTTGAGGAATTTGTGGTTTAGTGGGAGTTAGTCACTTTCATATATTTTATGTTCTATGTTTAATTTCATATATGTATACATTGATTTTTGGACATATTTGGTTATCTATAGATATGCGGTTTTTTTTCGTTCATTCATTACACTTTGTACATTAAGGATATTATATCGATCTCGATAAGTTAAAGTTTGAACCAGTTGAAAATAGACGTGTATAGATCACCTTCACGTAATTTTCATGCTACACATTTCATGATGAATCCATGTCATTTGATTATGTTAGGATGAGTAATCATTGTTGGTTTTAATTGCGATGATGCAATGAAAAACTGGTTTGGTTCTATATCCTGATATGATTAATGGACATGACTTTTGGAGTATGCTAAAGGAATATAATGGCAATTTTGAGCTCATAAAGTCTAACACATTTGTAAGGTTGTAAGGACATATATATTTGTGACCAGTGGGAGATTGTTGGCAAAATTTGGGTCATGTATATATATGATACATATTTAAATGTGTTAGGGTCATTATTTATTAAGCCAAATAATAAAGTGATCTGACTAAATTAAAAAGGTTTGGTTAAAGGCATATGTCATGAAAATAAAATTGTGTAGAGACCATAAGATCAAATCAAAAGTGCTCTACAAATGATATCGTCATTATGACCAATTTAGGTACGCTTTCGCATTTAGTTTATAACATGTTTACAGTATGGGATTATAGATATATGTTTGATCATTAGAATGAATATCATATTCAATTACAGTTTAACCTAACAAATCCTACACTTAATTATGAATTTTGTTCTGTGTATCAAGCTTTGGCTTAGGAATTAGGATAGTTCTCAGTTGGCATAAGCAGATAATTTTGAGGATACATTTGTGCTTTAATTATGCATGATGATGTTTTTCAACAGAATTAAGTTCTAAGGTCTGTCTATTAATTTGAAATTAACCAATCTATTTAATTCCCTATGAGATTCGAAACTATCGTTTTATTTTGTGTTTCAAGTCTTTCAGTTGTCATATTAACTAGTTGATACTTTAATCTGACTTCGGTTAGGAAACTTGATAAATGACTTTAGGAAGAAAAGCAAAAACTAAAGCCTGCAACTTATTTAAGATGATATTAACTCATTGAGTACTCTCAGAGATCATACCAACATAATAATTGTAGAATTGTTTTTTCATTGTAGTTGGTCATGTGAAATGGATTCAAAGGAAATGAAGAAAATCCAGCTCTTTCTTTATAATTGTCAAGCTCAAGTCTTGATAACTCTCTCCATAACCTTCAAGAATAGTCCAACTACAGAACCGCCAACGCCAATGCAAAGTTGCTTACACCTCGCAGTTTTCTTTTTTGTCACCTTCAGGTTTCCCTAAGCCAACCACCGAATCTCCTAGGTCAACCTAGAAGCTTACTACAATCAAGAAGTGAAACATAAATAATGAATACATTTAAATATTGAGTGCATTGTAATTTATCAATGACCATGATCTTTGTAGGCAACAATGGCAACTTGTTTGTAGTTGTCTTATCTGAGTAAGTTTGAAAGTATTTATAACATATTAACTTCTACTGTGACTGTTATACATGAATATTTTAGTCTTACAATAATATGCATGTTTCTTTTAACCATATCATTGAGGGATTTACAAAGTAACAAGGGACCAAATCCAAGAATATTGATTAGATTCAAGTAAAAGTAAGTATTTTTACTAATATTTTAAATATTCAAGTTATTTTTTATTTATTATAATAAGTAATTGTCGCCGTAGTCCCTTTCGACGTCCGGGGACGTCTCGAAACGTTTATGCGAGCGGTCGCGAAAAGATGGTTTAGACTCGCGTATTTGTTTTAAAATATGTTCATTGCTTCAACATTAAAAAAGCAAGGTTTTCGAAAAGGGGTTCTTATGGAGTCGCCACCAACATTTTGACCATAAACATTGGAAAAGGATGAAAAGGCATTGATTTTAATAAAAACCGGACTTGGCCATTATAACCAGAGTTAGGTAAGGGAGTTAGTTACGTGTGGGGAAGGTGTTAGCACCCCACAACGCCCCTTTCGGGTTCCCTATGACATGATTAATTCATTTAAGTAAAGACTACGAGAAATTACGCGATTACCCTATTTTATTACATAATATTACATGGCTATCTACATGATTTTATTCTATGTTGCATGCATAAAATGATGAATAAAGCTAAATAAAGCAATAAAAGAGATATTAAAATAGCTATCTACATGATTTTATTCTACATGGCATAAACAATAAATAAAGCTAAATAAAACAATAAATAAAGCAATAAAAGAGAAGAGAATTGAAAAGAACCTCCGTAGCAAGCTTTGTATTGAGAATCTCCAAGCTGTGAGGATGCGTTTTGGCAACCCTCTCTCTACACAGGACTCTCCTCACCAATACAAGATCGACTCC